ATTTTTCTTTTTAAATTAATGACAACAGTTTTTTGATTTATAGTTTATAGTCCCAGGATAGCATGTTTTTATCACCTGTGCTTTAATGCCTGTATACTCATGCATACAGAAAAGAAACACACTATATTTCTAAGTCTTAAGTATTTTTTTTTTGTCTTAGGAAGATGATGGAAACCTATTGATATATGATAGTCTTGTAGGTTCCTTCTAGCACATCATAATGTATGTTTACTACAAGTATTGAATTTCTTTGCTAGGGAATATGGAATGGGAAAGGGGATACCTTCTTTTCTTTTATTAAAACAAGCTAATTAAGGCATTATGTTGATGTTTTTATGTGAAAGCTAGTGTCATCTTTGTCACAGTTAAGTCCAGCTTGTAACAGTTTTCTTTTTTCCTGTTCATAGCTATGCAGCTTCATTGGTATCAGTGGAGTGTATAGGTGGGATTTACAAAGGCAAACTATAGGCACAGGAGACCGTGTTCCCCTTTGTAATCAGTAGAGAGAAATGAACTGTTTCTAGGGTATTTCAGTCAGAGTAAAATTCATGTGCTGTTTTGTAATAGCACATGAACTGAGGGAACCCATTTGAAGGTGATGTTACCCTGTGATGTATTCACTTGCAGAGGGTAGAATGGGAAGAAGGGGAGAGGTACCATCTGAGATTCCAGTCTCAAGTTCCAGGACTTCTGGGCCTTTTTCTGTCTAATCTGTGAACTTGAGTGTTCTTTTGGATCTCCATTTCTGTTCTCTGAGTTGCTTGAACCACTAATTGTTCCCACCATCTTCGTGACTTCCCGTGTTTTACCTCCAAAAAAAAAATAAATAAATTCTTCACTAGACTGGTTATTAGATATTTAGCTTAGAGATGAGAGATACCAGTCCCCATCAGATGGAGCAGAGACTAAAGCCAAGCCCTCCCACTTACTGAGCAGAAGCAATAATAATCCGATTGTGGCAGAAAATGTGGGTGGTTATATCATCACTACACGGTGCAGCAGGGTGTGCTAGGCAGTGCATGCGCTAGAGAGGTGGCATTCCACCTGGTGTGGGTAAGTTGAGACACATTCTGTGACTGCAGTTATTTGTAATGCTATATGCAACACCTTTTTACAGAAATATGAATGCAGGTTAAACTGCTTTGTCTGTGGGTGGGATTATTTACAGTAACAGTGTCTTTCAAACTCAGCCCAGATAGACAGCGTACTGAGCCACTGCTTAGATGTCGCAAAATTGAGAGCAGCTTAGTTCCTCCTTCACGCTAGACAGACAGACAATATTACCTGATAATTCCAGCCAGCTCTTAATCTGTCCTTTGCAGAGTGGCTGCCTCATTCTCAAGATGGTGCAGGAAGACTGGGTAGAAAAAGAAGAATCCCAAAAGAAAGATTCTGTAACAAAACTACACAGCTAGCTCACGCTTACCTCCAGTGTTATGTTAGTACAGCTCATGTAGCATAAAACCAGAATTACCTAGTGATAAATTACTTTACATATATGCTAGTCTTGGTTACCAGTATTCACAGGTGCTGAGGTAGCACTAGAACAAATGAGTCCTTACATAGCTTTACGAGAAAGAAATAGGAGGAAAAGAGTTATTGCACTTAAGTGGTATATTTTTATATTCTTAATTTAAATGCTGGTTTTCTTTCATCCTTTTCCAAGCACTTTGTGATGCTGCTATTGTGCATTTACATACATAAGCTTAAGTGTATGCTCTGCTCCAGACTTTGAAAGGTGTTTCAAAAATGGTAGCAAAAATTTTTTGCAGCTGGTATTAGCAGCTGGTGACAGCTGCTAAGTTTTCTCAGAGCGCAGAGAATGTCTGTGAATATCCTTGTTAGTATTATTGGATTTTTTTCCCTTCTTGAAGCCAGACCTAGCTTCCATGGAAGTTACAGCTTGAAGCAAATACTACTTAAAGTAGACACTCCAGTAGAATAGCATTAGATTGTAGATATGAAAGTTAAATATTCTGTTAATGTCTATAAAAAGGTAATTGTTATACAGATCTATATTTTGGTTCAATTTCCCCCATATCCTGCATTGTCAATTTTCCATCACCTATGTTCTGGTTTGGATTTATTGCCAAAAGGCAGCCTGTTGTCTGATATGCTGAATTTGAGTGTACTGGAAATATGTAGGCAGTAGTTTGCTCTCTTTATGTGCAAACTGGATGTTGAACCAAATCCATGTACAGCCATCAATATTTCCTTCTTACGAAGTAGGAGTAAAAAAAAAAACAAAAACAAAACCCAACAACAAAAAAACAAAAACACCAACAACAAACCAACCAACCAAAAAACAAAACAAAAAAAACCTCAAACCCCACAATAGTGTGTGGACTGTATTTGGTAGACTATAGGCATTTTTGTATGATTGTTATTGTTTATCAGCCTGTTCGCATTCCAGCTTTTTTCCTGGAGTGAGACAATGCTTTAACAGAATATTGGATATCTGAAAAAGATGCGAAATTTAATTCCAGATTGAGCAAATTTAATCTTTGTTGAAACAAAAGATGCGAAATTTAATTCCAGATTGAGTGAATTTAATCTTTGTTGAAATGTTCAAGATTAATTGCACTTTATTTTGGGTCAACTTAGTTTGGATATGTTTCAGACTTACGCAATTCTGTTTACAGGCTACATGTACTAGTGATAAAAGTTCAAGTGTAAGGAAGCTCTTGCTGAGCTTTAAGGCTGTGTTCTATCAATAATGAAGCAAAAAAATTTTTACTAATGAAGTAAGACTGAATCTTCATGAGCCTGCTTTCTTACCTGCTCTTTTGAGAGTAAATCCATTGACTTAAATCCCTTTATCTGTTTGACAGAGCAATGTATGCAAACAATTTTTTTTCTTCCTTTTTTTTGTTGTCAAACTGTTCTCCAGCTTTCTGCCCACCACAAACATTCTCTTCAAATACTTTTCTTTTTTTAAGATTTAACTCTCATGAATGTGTTTAAAATAGAGTATTAACACTGTGGTTGCCCATTTCAGTCCCAGTGAACTCAGGAATGATTATCTGTAGGCTCTGTGAGACCAAAAGCCAGTGTGTCTGCAGGCAGAAAGTACCACGCAGCCCCAACACCTGCGTGTACATGCATTTGGGCTCTTGCAGTTGGGAAATTGGGAGCAACTTGAGCACCTCATGCTTAATGCAGACACACTAAGCTGCACAATTAATTTGTTAGTTTTAATTACTTCTGTGTAGTTAGTAATTTTGAGTAGGAGAATTTCACATGAGCTGAGGCAGAACATACACATTCATGAGGCTGCAAGCTTAATAACGTTATAGTGGACAACCTGGTAGACACAGTCTTAAAAGAACTAGATAAGCATTTGGTGACTCAGATCTGCAGTTGTCACTGACTGGCCAAAAGAAAAAATTCAAATAATTGTACAAATACTTAGTTGCCTTCAGAAATAGCTTATTGTTAGTTAAGCTACAAAGCTTGAAGGATTACTTATTTTCCAAGAACTGCTTTTCTTTTCAGAGGAAAAGCATAAGCATTTCAAAAGTGGGTTTTGTATTTTAACAGGTCATGTGGACAGAATTGCCTTGCCAGAATTTTCATCTTCTCCTTTGTTGTGCTATCTTAGAATCTGAAAAACAGCAAATAATGGACAAGCACTATGGCTTTAATGAAATATTAAAGGTACTGAATTCTTATGCATTATTTAAATTTTAATTGACTTTTTGGAGTTTAATGCAGTATGTTCGTATTTCATGTTGGGCAGAGGAAATGGTGCATACTCTCTTCTGAAGGGTTAAATGTGAACTGAATGTCTGTCCTCCATGCTTTCAAAATTGTTTATTTGATGTCTGCATTTAGTGATAAGATCATTAACAGATGAAAAATGGTTCTTCCCCTTAAGACTACTGCTTAGTATGTTTAATCTTAATTTTTGCATTTTCTTCCGTAATTTTAGTTGTTATGTCTTTGAAAATGTGAGCTGGGGGGGTACCTAGGAGGGCTAGATAGTTTGTCACATTTAGAAGTACGGTGGATTCCTATTGCAGATCTTGGTGAAAGCCAGCCGTTGCATATTACATCTTTCAGTACCCATTTGTCAAAGCAAATAGAGTATGTTTAGCATTTCATAGCTAAGGGGCAAGCTTATAAGGTGCTACTTATTAGCAGTGCAGTACAGTATTAGTGTATTTTACAATAAAGCATATTTACCATTTATCACACTTACTGTTCTTTGTGAATGTATTTTTAGCATATCAATGAACTGTCTATGAAAATTGATGTGGAATATATACTTTGCAAAGCAGAAGCAATTTCTATGCAGATGATGAATTGCAAGGTAAAGATATTTTTAATGTATCTACTGTGAGCATTTATAGACATAAAATTACATAGTTGGCTGTAAGCGTACATGTATGACTTGCGGAATAACTACATGCCTGGGTACAACAAAGGTTGTGCTGTGTCTATACAGCACCTATATTCTAAAAGTCTGTAAGCAAGAGTGATTAATTTTCTAAAGTAATAATCTTGACTGGGGGAAAGCTGGATTGTGCCTTTTGGTTGTGACTTCTTAACTCTTACTAGATAACCTCAGTACAAGTAATTTGTTCAGCGTGCTCGAGAAAAATGAGGTGAAAGGTGTGTTGCACTGGACACATACCAGACTTATTAGGCAGAAACTAATGGTTCACTCAATAAAACTAATTTCAATAACAGGAGGTGTAATTATAATAGTTGTTTAGACTTTTATTTTTGTAATGAAGATTATATTGTCAATCAGGAATTGATTCCTGAGCCTGTCCCGTTTGCTGTCTTTTTTTGAAAAGCAGATAGAGAGAGATGCTTTCAATACAGCTGAATTCAGATGAATGAGTACTTACTGGGGGTGGGGGACGGACCAGTGGGGGGACCTTGTTGTTAACTTTGTGTATTTAATTACAATGATTTTAAATTATGTTGTTGTGGTGTTTGGTTTTTTTTTCTCTCTCCCCGCCCCCCTTCCTAGGAATTGCCTCAAGCGGTTAGTGAGATCCTGGGCATAGAAAGCAGTTCTGTAACACCAGATTCAGATACTGGAGAGGATGAAAGTGGAGCTGTGATGAGTTGTCCGACATCATTATATCAGAGTATCTCACCACCTGTAATTGCTGGCAATGGAACAGGAGACAGCACTCAACAGATGTCTGAGACACAGAGCCTGACACCTGCGTAATTACAGTTGGTTAAATTGAAGAAGGACTTTTACTGAGCACGTTTTTTTTTCGAGCACTTGAGAGATGGATATTTAAATTTGGTATTGATTAAGCTTTAAGGTTGGAAAGAAAATCTGTACTGTAATGCTCTTGCATTAAAGCTTTACAACATGACTCAACTATTTTTGTAGTTTCTTCTACCAAAATAGCCTTTTGTTTTCAATAACATTCCTTAATATTTTTGTAGCCAAGTGCATTTTCTTTTTGCTGGTGAACTGGAAGTGGATGGTGATTAAGAATGAATCTGAAACTTCTGCATTTGCTGAGCTTTCACACATATTGATCTAAGACAGTGTGAGCTCTTTGATTTGAGCAGATTCACAACAGGCCAGCTGAAGCTGCTGTACAAAATTTTCAAGCTGAAGAGATGCTGATGTGTTAAAGAAGGATCATTTTGTAAATGAATGGGTTTTCCCTATCTCAAATGTTTACAAAAATACTTCTAAGTATTTGTTGCTGGTTGAATGTAGATTTGAAATGGACATTTATACTTACACAGTTTAATGTCCAAATTCTGAATTTTGTGTAATTGGGAGTGGATGAACAGTATATTTTTACATTAACATATCTTCACTTTATATATGCATATATATATTTACACACATGCACACACTATATACACAAATGTTTGTGAATACTAAAAAGGATAGTCATATTTTCAATATCTGAATAAACTTGACTGTTCATTCATATGAATCAGTTTGACCAAATTAATGCACAGCTCCAACTTGGGCTTTTTTTCAAAACTTTTCTAACTGAAGGTAACGTCCATGTGAATACATTCAGTCCTACACTTGACGTAATTTTGCAATTGATTTCTTGCAAATTTTACTGATGTTTATCTTTGCTAATATATTAACTGATCAGTTAACTACGTACACTGTTTTTATGGTGAGATTATTTGCAGAATTAATAACAGGTTATTAAAAAAAACCCCAACAAACCACAAACCAAAATAGTAATCACAATTAACATTAACGCATTTTTTGTATATGCAAAAGGCAGTGTGAGTTTATTCCATGCCATGCTGATGTCCTTTGACCTTATGTGAAATTTAAGATAACTGATTCAGTGTATTCATTATTTGGTAATTATTGTACATATATAAAATCAAAGCTGATTTAGTGTTTTTAATTAAATCATATTTAGAGAAAAAAAATCTAGTTGTCTGGTTGTTGATATAAGAACATGAGATAGAGGGGATAGCTAACAAGAGTCCATCGATATTACATATTTTGTGAGTAATGAAGAGCAGTGGGAATATCTGTTTATTACATAGTGGAACATGCCTTTCATCTCTAGGTGGTTGATGCGTGGGATGTGGTGGACCTTGCTTTTCTTCTGGAGCAGTTTACTTTTACAAATGTTATTTGTGCCATCTAAAGCAAGTACAAGTAATACAAAAAGCCTTTAATAGATAAATCAAGTTACGATAATTTGAGACTCGATTAAACTTCTCTCACCAGTTGCGAACAAACACTGGAGAGCTGAATCAGTACAGATTTTGTTTTTAATATCGTCAATGTGCTATCTCTCATCAGTTAATAAGAAGAGTCTTATGTGGTGAAAGTCAAGGATTCACAGCTCAGCGTATCTATAGCCTTTCATTTCCTGTCCAGGAAATGACTGTGAAGCATCATGCCTTTGTTCACTGTTGAGCTTTGTGCTGCTTGGCAGTTCATTTAACGTGGCATAGAATACATAAAGGCATTAGAACTTCTATAATCAACACTTTGGTTCAAATATACTAAGCAAGTTAGTTTCAGTATTTTTTTCTAGCACTTAGTTCACTTCGTACTTGCAAAATGTTTTTGGCAAAAATTACGTTAAAATGAAACTATGGAAGGGGGGAGGGAAATGTCTAAAACTGAGAAATGCAACGGGCAAGTCTGTCAGTTAACTATGCATGGTTCTGAGCTATTCAGGATACGCAGCCACAAGAAATTATATGCAACATTAAGATCTTGAAGAAAATCATAACTGACTGAACATAAATATTCAAATGTTTAGGAAAAGCATATTTAAGTTGAATTCATTTCTTAGAATTACAGCTATGGCTGCTAAGAATACTACCAGCCCTTATAAGTAAAGTTTGCCTTTCATTTTTGGTATACTTGTTGATCTTTTCCCTTTGTATTAAGCACTCGGATGTCAAGGATGAGAAGGCTGCTCCTGGATTAACAGTGAGCAGCTGCTGTGGAAGACTTGGAGTAGGTAGGCTTGCTCTGCTTCCCAACAATAAGATCAAATGCCCTTTGCCATGTTCATTATCTGAGGTTTCCTTCCTGCTCACAGGCAACCTTGTAAAGAGTTGTAATCAAGGAGAACCTCATCCTCCACCAAACTATTCCTGATTGTTAGCGATGGATTTAGTCTAAGCTGAGACTTACAGACGCTGTGAAAGGCCTTAATCAGGATCACGATGGCTGAAAAAATGCCATGGGTTGGAGGTTCTGGATGTGTAATTATGTATTTCTTTTGTACGTGAATGATTCAGATGGCTTAAAACTAACAAACATGAATTAACTCTTAAATAGATTTTTGGTTGCAGTTGTCAGGCTATAAAAGAGGCAGTACTTGTTTAGTTCCTGCAAACCCGTTTTGTTTTTTTAATGCTTGACTTGAAGATAATTATCTTTTGGGGGTGAGCATTTAAAACTTCATACTTCTCAATTGTAGCAGTATTCCAGTGTTACCTGTTCCAAGGTAAAAATTACATTTATGTAGGTCTCTCCTTAAGGGAGCTTTTTCATATTATACCTGTTCAGGCAATTTTATTTGTTTAGAAAGTACATTCTTGAGGACTTTTTCTCCTGTTCGAGGGCAAGAGGCTAGCTTACAAAAAGGAGAATTGCCTGACACTTCTTGGAAGTTTGGACCAACGTGAATGTTTATAGAATAGTTTTGATACTGGGAGGTTAAAAAAAAAAAAAAGCAAAAGGATGATGCTATACTTAATTGCCCATAGTAATCAATCACTGAACGCTTCAGCTGTATTGAATACATTTAGCAAATGTGTGCCTGTCTTGTTCACCTCTAATGACTGTGTTTGCACCCTGTGAACATTGTAGCCAGTGGCCTTCAACCCATGTCAGGTGTGGAGGTTTGCAAGTCATTGTTGCGAGTAATCTTCCTAAAGAATATAAAGGCTACGTATAGAACAGGTCATGATTGCTTTAAGAATCAGATGTGGAAATACTGTGATGTTGATTGTATTAGCAAGGCTTTTGTTTTGATCCGTAGTTTAATTAAAATTAAGGTGTTAATGTTTAAGAAGTAATGTTGCTAAGAAGTTTTTTCTTAAAACCTTTGCAGTTTTCTAGTGGACAAATTTAAGATGCTGATGGTGCCTCTTCAATTATTCTCTCTAGTTTTCCCTCACATATTACTCTATAAAATTCTTTGACCCCAGTTAGCCAAAGCAGTGAGGAATCAGATTCTTCACTACTTTCAAATACATTCTTCAGCACGAAATCAAAGCTCCATTGCTGAGACTTTTCAGAAGGCCATAAAAGCTGTTCTTCTAGTTTTCACTTTGATAATGTTTTAGTTCCAAATAAGTGAGGCACTTTTTCCTCACTTTTCTAAATAATTTTGTGTTACAAGACTCTTGCCTAACTTGAAAAAAGATTTTATTGTAAATGATTTGGCATTCAGAATTTGGACCATGAACAAGTTTTGGTACTGCTAGTATGATTCATACATCCTGCTGTGATGCAAATGAAGACTTACCAAGCTTGGGATTGAATTTCTGTAGGTAAACTCTATGTTCTCCTCAAACTGTTCCTCGTTAGACAACAGAAACAACAATGCTGAAGAGGTTACTGAAATTTTAAAAGTGCATCTGCGAATTGATTCCCATTATAAATGGGACTGGAAAAAAATAATTAAATGGGCTGTGTGCAGGAGTGATAATTTGTTTAGGAAATGTGTTAACTATTTCTCAGGCTCAGTTTTAGTCAATATTCTTGTACAGATGCAACTTAAAACTGAAGTTTGGTCCATGGGCTATAGAAAAGTGGCTGGTAACATGATTTTGTCTGTGGCTGGCTAACATTTTTCAGATCTGTTGACTGTTTTCTGAATGTTTCTAGTCAGTGGCTGGTGCCATCTCCGTGTGAAACGGTCATGGCAGAGAGGTCAGTGCTTGTCCTTACGAGAGAAATCCCATGAGCGGCTCTATGGTGGCTGGGATTAAAGCAGGAAATCCTAACCCTTGGTTCTGTACGTGCAATTGCATACTTACATCTAGCTCAATAGTTGACATGACTGTATATGAGCATTGATAAGGTGATGAGACACAGATACATAACTGAGCACTTAACAGACAGATTTCATATATGTGTGCTATTATATTTGATTTAAAGATGCTTTCAAATGCCTTTTTTATGGTGTTAGAAGATGAGTTGTGCTTCATGTTTAGTGGGACTCGCAAATGTCTGCTATTCAATTAAGTGATGTTATTGCAGTGCAGGTCTTGTATAAATTAAGCTTGAATTTCATTTTTCATTCAAGTGGGGATTTTAATCTTAAACATTTTTTAGAGAACATGTTCAATTTTTTTCATGTTAAATCACTATATCTTTGGCACAAATTGAATTTTCTGATGAACTGCAAACAAAAAATATATTGTAGGATGTCACTTTTTGCCTCATCCAAAATGAATTTCACAATTGAATCAAATATATATTTCAAACTGTCCGTGTAATTCAAATAAATGAAGTCTTCTAGATGGGTTATGTTTTGAAGGAATTCAATTACAATATATATTTTGATTATACAGGCTATGTGTACCCTACCTTAACATTAGTTCTGAGACTGTTTCTGTATATGTATCTTGCTATTAACCAACTAACTGCAGAGCTGAAATTTTTGCCCAGGCTGTAGCAGTTCAGGAAATGGCAGTCACTTGTTTCCTCTCTGTGTGTTGTGGTTGACCCTGGCCAGCAGCCAAGCACCCACCCAGCTGCTCGCCCACTCCCCTTTCCCGTGGGATGGGGAGAAAATGGAAGGCAGGCAAGAAGGCTCACGGATTGAGACAATGACAATTTAACAGGGAAAGCAAATGCCGCTCCCACAAGCAGTGCACAAAGAGGATTTCATTCACTGCTGCCCATTGGCAGGCAGATGTCCAGGGAGTTCCTGGAAAGGAAGGCCTCGGCCCAGGTTCCTTGGAAAGATAAACACCGTGACCATGAATGTCCGTGCTTCCTCCTCCTTTCCCTGAGCTTTTTATTGCTGAGCACAACGGGATGTGGTAGGGAATATCCCTTTGGTCAGTTTGGGTCAGCTCTCCCGGCTGTGTCCGCTCTCAACCTCTTGCACACCCCTGGGGGAAGAAGCAAGAGAGCCTTGGTGCTGTGCAGGCTGGGTTCAGCACCAGCTGAAACACGGGGGTGTGAGCAACACTTCCACGCACAAACCCAAAGCACAGCACCATACGGGCTGCTGTGAGGAAAGTTAACTCTGTCCCATCCTGACCCAGTTTGGTGTGATCACAGCCATTCTTGATGCTGTCTGAGATCATGTTAGAAAAAAATTAATCCTTCCTCTTAAGAGGACACTTTTGAAGTGCCCATCTAGACCTGATGCAAAAAATAGCTGTAACTTGTGTTCAGCTGTTGGTTGCTTGTCATAACTCAATGAGATGCAACACCAGAAACTTTTCCAGAACACTCTTGGTGTATGAATTGGCCCAGATGTCCTTTGGGTTACATGGGTGCATGCCACCTTTGGGCATTGGTCTTGGAGAGCTTCCACACTTCTGGTTTTACTGTTAAAGTAACTGATGCAGGAGACCCAAGAAAGTCTTGGGTTTAGGTTCAGGGACTTGATAATTCCTCAGGCAGTGAAACAGTACAACTGCTGCTACCAAAAGTGGCAGTCGCGGTTCCTTGTTCTCTGCCCTGTGCTGCTACATCTTTTATGCTG